CTACGTTTTTGATCAAAAGAAAACTAGAAATGATATAGACCTACGAGGAGATTGATTCAAAGAAAAAAGTGCTAACTACTGAGCCACAAGTTGAAAATATTTTTTTTAAACCATCAACAGTATAAATGAAAACTACCCCTCTCCCCTCCCCCCGTTTGGGGGGGGGGGGGGAGCGGCGATGCCACTGACAGAAGCGTCTTTAGGCCATTCCCAAAGGGGGGACATGAACCTGTTCTTATTCCCAGTATAATAGTAAATGGGCTGATTCATCGATGTCATGCCTATAACTGTGCCTGAAGTGCAACAGGGAACTGCTACTTTTTCTTTCCTAATCCTTACTATCGTCATTTTTCCTCTACTTCTTTTGAATGTTTGTAACACTCTTGTGACCCGCTATTACCAGGGTGCCTTGATAGTCGAAGCAGACTTAGTGCTGTTGAAGCTAGAGTGGTGAGCAGGGTAAGCATGATTCCCTGTAAAGACATTCTTTTTGACATCCCCCCTTTGGCGCTCATATGACCTAATGCAGTTTTGAGCACCGTAAAAACTCTACTAAAAAAATAACAACAAAACAATCCCAGCTCGCAGTTGGCGACGGCAGTCTCAATCCGAAAGAAAGAGCTCTTGTCTAGGCTCGTCCGCAGTGTTGCCCCCTACCCCAACCCCACCTTCATCCTAGACTCACCACTCCGCGTAGCTACTGTTTCTAGGCCTCCACCCTACCAAATTGGTTAAACTGAACCTCGGATAAAGTGAACACTTTCTTCTGGTCCCAAAGAGTTCACTTTAAGTGGACTCCAGTGAAAATGAATACCGTGTAAAGTAAAAACGTTCTTGTGTTGTAACTGTTCCGCCAACAAGCGATTCCGTCTTTGCGTATATTATATCACCAAGACGGGGTTTACCTACACCCCCACACCAACCCTTCTCCACTTACCTAATCTACTGTCATCGCAACCCCCCACCCCCACCCCCACCCCTCTCATTTCTTTACATGAAAATGTGTACTTTCTGTCTAAAACAGTCCTCCTGAAGCCTTTATAATACTAACCTTTTCTGTGAAATAATCATTCCTTATTAATTCCAACACCCTGTAATTATGGCGAGGCATTACGTACTGTAATAAGGTTATCTATTGAGTAATGATCCTGCAATTATTTTTACCACATATTTTTTGTCCTCCTCTCCGTCTATCACTAAAACAAGTGTAAAGGAGTAGTTAAGATCGTTTTAAATCAGTTTCAGCACTACCGTGTTCCACTGTTCTAGTAACTCGTATTACATCAGCAATGTAATTAAAAATTTGCAGAATATCATAATTTAAGAATACCGATAAACTTGGGAGTAGTGCGGGTACGTGGGGTAATTATTGCTGAAACTGTAATTGCTTTGATAAGATCATTCTATTTGTCTAGGCCATTCGCACTACAGTAAAATAAACGATTGTATATCACGAAATACCAGCAACAAACAAATTATGCACTGACTGCAGTTGATCTTAGAAAATTGGAAACGGGGGTTTTGGGAGGGGTCGAATGTTTCCTTATTAAAACTCAGACACGGGAAACTTCGTGTGAATTGATCTCTATAAATTTGTTCGTCAACTATGGCACTTCTCTAGGCGCACAGCAAAAAAACAACCCGCATAATATTATAATACTATTTCCTAGTTCCTCTCAGCTGGAATTGTTGAGAATCCTTTTCTGCTAAACCAAGAACCCCCGCGCCATAGACCTATATCTTCTCCCGGACGCTTTTCAATGTCAGGGATAATTCTTTTAGCGAAAAAAGTTACGTTTATTATTGGCTTGGTGGTTTTCAGGTATTGCGTTCCCTGTCGGTCTTCTCGGTTACTACTATGTGGAACGATTCGTCTCAGTCTGAGGTGGGTATAGGTGGCCTCATGGCAGGGGCTTACATAGTGCAGCGTAGCCCAAGAGGTAGCCTACATTGTAATCAGTCAGGCTGCCCACTTGTGATTTATGCATTTGGCTAGAGTGGTCGTTATACCGGCTGTCTAAAAAAGGACCCATTCAAATGCCAATAACTCGGTTATCTATGGGTTGATTTTTTTTTATTTACTTCGAAAAAAATAAAAATTCAACTAGGGGAACCTTACATTTGTCAATGAGAAAAAAAAGCAACAGACATTCTCTGAAAAATATCAAGTTTTAAAATTTTCAACCAAAATTGAATGAAACGCAAAATTTTGCAACTTTTAAAAAAATCAACGACATTTGTTGTTCTATTTCAATTAACACCATTTGTGCATTGAAGAACAAATTTATACAAAACTGATACTGGCAAATAAACTCAGGGTAGGTGATGGCTATTTAAACCTCCAGATCCAGATATTGACCATTTCTCTCCATACAGGCTCCAATACGAAACTGGAAATTTTGAATAACCCCGTGGCATGTTTCTGAGTCGAATCTTTTGGAACTTCTTCTCAAAATTGAGTTTCAACTGTTCGATTGTTGGTGGGTTGTTTCCGTCGATTCCGTGTGCCATAAAAGCCTCAAAAGTATCGATTGAGGGGGCTCGTGTCGCGTTTTGGGGGGAGGGGGGGGGGAGTTCCCCTTAATTAAAATTTGTAAAACTTTTGCTTATAAAGTGTCGGGGTTCTAGCCTCAGCTCGGTCCGACGTTGTGTCCTTGGGAAAGACACTTTGCACGAATTTCCCATTTGGCTCGGTCCTTTCGGATATGGTCGTTAAACTCGGAGGTTGCGCTCCTTAAACAACCTAATAGTGTTGATAGAGGCGTTAAACCCATATCATTTCACCGTTGGTGTGTATAAAGTGTTCCCCAAACCCTTCTTGCAGCCATACAAGAGATATTTTTGACGTGTGGGGTGTGGCCCCTTCCTACTGGAACCAGGCCTCAACAACATTATAACACTTTCTCTGAGCCATATTTCTTCACTCCTTTCTCACAACAGTGAGAAGTCAATCTGGTGTGAATATCGAGATTGTACCGACTTTGTCTTGAAACCAAAACGGGCCGATCACGCCCTTGTGTCTGGACACTTTCAAGAAGTAAAAGTTTGTGTTTTACCCAATTTTGGTTGAAAGTTTAAAAACTTAATATTTCTCGGACACGTGGACTTATTTGTTTCATATAATTTATGAATTTTACTTCCATGTGGGTGACTATTACTTCTTCGAAGTTTTGTTGAAAGTAGCATTAATGTGACCGCATTACAGCCCTTTAAGTGGGTGCACTTTTTTAAAACAGACACACTGTTCTACTTAAGTTGGGTTATTTTTAACCAATGTTTATGGTCTTACGTCACGTGCTGTTGAACCGGCGTCTGTGGTGTACCGGTTAATTAATTTAGCCATTCGCCATCTAATGCAAGAGACCTGAATTCTACTTCCGAGAGGGGACAATTTTTATCTAGTATCTTGATTTTTGCGACACCTGAATAGACATTAAGGTCTTGAACATCTTGCTCTCACTGGCAAAATTGAAGGCAAACGAGGTAGGGGTAGGCCCAGAGCAACCTATTTAGGGAATCTAAACAGGTGGGTAACTGGAAAAGATCAGCGGAACGTAGCTTTTTAAAGAGCACCCGAGCAAAGGAATGAATGGAGAACCATGATCGCCGATGTCTGTCGCAGATCTCGCACTGGATGATGATGATGATGATGATGATGATGATGATGATGATGATGATGATGATGATGATGATGATGATGATGATGATGATGATTGGTCTTTCCGCTAGAATTGTAGATATCTGTCTCAGCCCGGGTTGGGCCTGACAGGCATGGTTGAAGGCAGCAGATCCCTTGGTGGTCTAAAATAAGAGTAGGCTTCGGCCGCCACCCGGGCAAAATTCAAAATTTCCTACCAACTGAAAAATATTAGGAGTGTCCCGCGCGCTCATATGACCTTATGAAGTTGCGTAAAACACTTACCAAAAAAAAAAAAGAGAGAGAGAGAGAGAGAGAGAGAGAGAGAGAGAGAGAGAGAGAGAGAGAGAGAGAGAGATGGAGAGAGAGGCTGACAGACAGACAGACAGACAGACAGACAGACAGACAGACAGACAGACAGACAGACAGAGATAGAGTAGGAGCAAGAGGAAGGGAGGAGGGGCTTTAGAAAAGCAAAATGAGGTGGGTTTTTGTCTTGTTCACTACAAGCTTTTGCTCGTTGGGGACATTTTTTGCTTTAGAAGATGTGTAGATTTCGGCTGTAGGCTATATATGTCTCTTTCGTGGATTTTTGGCAATATTTATAATTTGTGTAAATGGATCTTTCGCAATATGTTCAAGCTTTTATTGCACTTGGCTATCCCTCTGTATAGATAGGACAACAGACAGACAGACAGATAGATAGATAGATAGATAGACAGACAGACAGACAGACAGACAGACAGACAGACAGACAGACAGACAGACAGACAGACAGACAGACAGACAGACAGACAGACAGACAGACAGATAGATAGATAGATAGATAGATAGATAGATAGATAGATAGATAGATAGATACATACATACATACATACATACATACATACATACATACATACATACATACATACATACATACATACATACATACATACATACATACATACATACATACATACATACATACATACATACATACATACATACATACATATCGATAGATAGCGTACAACTGAGGCCTGAGAGTATGTCAAGCATTTTATTCAGGGTTTTGAGTTTGTTTTTTGGTTTTTGTTTTGTTGTGTTGTTGTTGTTGGGGTTTTTTGTTAGTTCGTATATAGGCCTATGGGGTTACTCTGTATTACTGTTAATAGTATCATTTACCTTGTACCTCCTCTATTCAGGTGATCAAAATCCATTGCCAGGTTAGCTTTTGCATTCAGGAAAGGGTTACCATGGAGGAACTGTCTTTCAACGTGAGCTCACAACTTGCGACGGAGTAAGACGAAAGTGGAGAGCAAAACGATTGAAGGGGGGTTCCTTTTAACATTGACACTATACGCCAGTGCATCATAAGAAGATGTCGGAAACAGCCCTGGCAATGACACAAGCTACAGAGCACACACAGAGTATTTACAAAGGGGTCAACGACACGAGCCCGATAAAGGAGAAGAACGCAGAGTTGTTGAGCGACGATGTGGCCCATCTAGTGATGCAGGTTCTCATGTTTTATGCCACGCCCACCATCTCTGTCCTCGGCATCACGGGCAACGTCTTCAGCATGATCATCCTCCTGAAACACGGACTCCACAAGTGCTCCAACATCCTCCTCTTCTGTCTCGCCGTGAGCGACACCACCTTCCTCGTGGCTTTCAACAATGTGCCCAAAATTCTGAACGAAGTGACTGGAGTCCCGATGGCCTGGGCCTACAGCAGACAAGCGGCTCATGCTTCCTATGTGTTTTACACCTTTTTCCACATTGTGGACTATGCAGTGGGGTCGAGTTCTTTGGCTATCCCGATGCTGATAACGATGGAAAGGCTTGTGGCTGTGTACTTTCCGATGAAGTTCTCGGTGATTGTTACTCCTTTCCGGACTTGGAGTGCGGTGGCGATTGTGTACGCCTACTGGCTTGTGGTGTACATTTATTCTTCGTTTTGGTTTGAGTTCCAATATAAATACGACTTGAAACTGAACATCTCCATGGGAATAATAGGACTGTCAGACCGTTATTATGAAGAAGTAGAAGTAAGCAAAGCGTTAGACGAAGTAATCAGGTACCTTACTCTGAAAATCCCACCGTGTTTTACCCTCGTTGGGTGTATTCTTATCTCTGTGAAAATCAAACTAGCGTCTGTCAAACGACAAAAAATGACGTCAGCTGGAGCAGCGAAGGACGCCAAGTCGAACCGCACGAGCAAGATGCTCCTAGCTGTGTGTACTATGTACACAGTCACCTGCGGAATCCTCACCCTGCCCACCTATCTACCTCAGTACGGCTACTACACCATGACAGGCGACGCCCCCAACAACGTTGGCAAAATCGGCTACCAGGTCGTCAACATGGTCCTCTGCATAAACGGTTCCTGTAATTTCATCGTGTATGTTGGCATGAACAAGAATTTCAGGGACACCTGGAAGTCATTGTTCACGCGTTGCCGTTTCAAGAGGAAACCCGCTCCGCATTCTCAAAAGGGACAAGCCCAAAAACGTTTTGAGTTTAAGAATTGATCCCCACTCCTGTATGTGTGGGATGATGGAAACCTAACAGACAGTGAAAATTTCTTTTTTGAGATGTCGTCAAAGATAGGCCTAGACACTATACGTTAATTTCTTTACCGATCAAGATTTTATGGAATATATAAAGATAGGCAATTTCTATATCTGTTTTGTTTTCAAGAAAATGCATTTTATATCCGTGAATTTAAAAAAATATATACGTATAAGTTAGCTTAATGTTTAACTAAACAGTCATAGAGGCAGATGGCCGCGGTTCAAATTGCTAACGAGGTGCTCTGAACTTGGCTTGTTTTGAAGAGTTTTTAAGGCTCTCCACCATTTAGCTCGGTCCTTTCGGAGAAGAACGTTAAATTCTGAGGTCCCGCCTCTTAAATAACCTAACAATGTTGAAAGGGACGTTAAAACAATACAGTTTCGTACATTTGACACAATTATACGTCATTTCGCAAGCAGGTCCCGCCAGACCTCTGTTAAGAGATGGCACACCAATAGGAAACGGAAGAAGACATTCCTACTCCCAGGAAGTTGGGGTATACAGAGTGGCGCCACTCCAGATCTAGATCATTTAGGAGGCGGGCTGCATTGGACCGGTCTCTCAAGATCAGCCAGTGCTGAGAGGGACACAGCTTGCCCCAGAAGACGGAAGGGGATACTCGAAAAAAGCAAAAGAAACCCCCCACATGGGAATCGAATTCATCTCTTGTAGGTGCGACGATGAACCGCTTAACCTCTACACCTCAGTTGGCTAGTTCTTTTCTATGCGTCACCATCTATCACTATACAGTCACTTTGCTTTTCACAACACTATTTGACTCTCACTAAACTAATGGGCTTCTAAATTCCCTTTTATTCAAATTCAGATTATTAGACGATTCTCTGCTCACAACTTACATAGAATCTGTCACAGTGTGGTATACGGAAAGCTATTTATTTATCCTTTGTACGCAACCAAAATTTGCCCTCCAATTTTCAGCACACAACTTCCCTATATCTCCTCTCCTGTTTGACGTTCATTCACTTACATAAATCAAACACCAACCCGAGTAGAAATCAATGTTCCATGCAATAAACACACAGTTAGATCATTATAAATAACAATGGGTGGCTGCGGTTTTGAAGATAATATTATTTAACTAATATATAATTCCTTTCGCTTTTTCTTAGCAGACGTTATCTCGTGTCCTCCAGGTTGAAGACCCAAAAGACACGAATTTAAACAGGTCAAGGCGCCAACATTTTATTTAACGTTAATTTTATTTTTTAAAGTGCACTCTTCTTTTTGCGGGTGGTTGGAGGGCGCCACTGGTAGCTCCAATTTGCTTTCCCTTTTTGTCCTCTCGCTCCCTTATCCTGGGTTGTTGTTGTTGATGTTGTTGATGTTGTTGGTGTTGTTGTTGTTGTTGTTGTTGTTGTTGTTGTTGTTGTTGTTGTTATCGATCCAGCAACAGCTGGGCTCTCACCCTTCTGTCCAATGCCATGTAGTGATAAGTGCAGGTTTGTTGCAGTTGCTGTAATGTTCTGTAGAGTGTGTTGTCAATGTTAGGTCTCAGGGGGAGAAGTGTAGCTCTGATGTCAATTTGGGCTGTACAGTGGAACAGGTGATGTTCCACTGTCTCATATGCATAGTCACACAAAGGACACATTGGAGGAAGTTCTGGTTTTATTCTATTCAAGTTAAATTTGAGCTGTATATGTTCTGTTCGTAGGCGGAAGAACCCTGGGATCGAATGTAGGCTTTCTTAGGTATGATGAGAAAGCCTATATCATTGAATTTCTCTGAGTTAGACACTTAACCATATTATTTGATACTTTTGCAAATTCTGTTATAATTCGTAAATCGATACCAATAAACGTTTTGTCTCCTTGAATTAAAAATGTGTTACGTTTTGTTATGGAAATACAGCATTTTACAACCTTACAGTATATTGAGGAAAATTTCAGGCACCTCTAGATCTATACAACTCTTTATATAATATTGCGTAGGTTTTTCATGCTCTGTGAGACAGCAAGAGTGGGGTTACCACAGAGCTCTGCTTTCCACAGCCATGCTGCTGCTGCTGCTGCTGCTGCTGCTGCTGCTACTGTAACTGATGGTGTTGTTACTGTTGCTGTTTTTGTTTGTTGCTGTTTTTCTTGATGTTCCTGCTGTTATTGATGTTAATGTCATTGTTGTTTCTGTTTTTGCAGCTGATGATGATGATGATGATGATGATGATGATGATGATGATGATGATGATGATGATGATGATGATGATGACGACGATGATGATGATGATGATGATGATGAAGCCGTTGTTACTGAAAGATGATAGCAGGTGATTTGAGTGCAGGACATTTTGCCCCCCCCCCCCCCCCCACCCCTCGTGTTAGAAAATATTACAGCATTGTCCAGGACGCTCACCTGTCTAAGACAGCCATACTTCTTTCCTCGCCAAAAAGCGATTGTCTCGTACAGTTTGGACTGTATTACAACAGGTTCCCTTCTCACCTCCTTTGCCCCCTCTCTGGGCTCCTGACTCTTTCTGCAGGCTTTCTACTGCTACTCCTTGGCTCTTTCTTACTGCTGTCTTTCCGCCACACCCCTGATCTTCTGATAGGAAAAATCTACACCTAGCTTTCTCGGACAAGGGCGAAAAATCTCTTAAGTTCCGTGTACAAGTTGCGCAGGTTAAAGATCCCTTGGTGGTCTAAAATCGATTAGAGTAGGCTTCGGCCGCCACCCGGGCAAAATTCAAAATTTCCTACCAACTGAAAATATTAGTTGTGTCTCGCGCTCATATGACTTTATGCAGTTGCGAGCGCCGTAAAACACTTAGATCTACAAAAAAACAACAACAAAAAAAAGAACCCACAAAAAACACGTTCGCAGCAACCAGTGAGTGACACGCGGAAAAGAAAGCCATTACCGTCATAACTACCCTGCAGTTTGTGAAACAGACCCCTCTGACAGAGTCCCGTTCCACAAGCAGACACCTCACGTGACACGAGACAAACACGGAGGGATGGAGTTGATCTTACCGACAAACGAAAGCGGCGTAAATGTCACCCCAACGGCACTCAGCAGATCACGTGATCTTTGAGTGTTTACGCTATCCAAACTTGCACTCACAGTTCGTCTAGATGCGAGATTTGAGAAAGATGTTGATGCTTTGGGAAATAATGACAAGTAACTAGGTACTGTTATGACGGGATACAGAGACAGATCCTTTGTTCTTAAACCCAGTGTACACTGTTTACTGTCAATCGTATCTAGTCGAATGAGTCGAGGCCAGCCAGATTATCCTCCATGGAGGGACAAAAGCTATTACATGTATTTTGGAATCATTAAATTAATCAAATTGTCTTCTAAAATCAAACATGGTTGTTGTTGTTGAAGGATTTTTTAAATCAGATTTGCCAAATTAATAATAATAATAATAA